TATTATTATTATTATTATTATTATTATTATTATTATTATTATTATTATTATTATTATTATTCAGAAGATTGAAAAAATCTCCAAAATCCCATTTTTGAAGCATCGGTTCAAGCCCAGTTTGGAGACTTCAGTCCCAAGTAGTCTAGTCTGCTCTAGTTTGGTTGTCCATTAAATTCTATATATACATGTGCATTACATTGATAAGCAGAGGTACCCCACAAATTTCATCAAAGAGTTGTTCAATATATCACTTTCTGTCTCTCTGTGTTGGTTTGTTATTGTTCTTATATTCAACAACACCAAGAAGAAGAGAAAGATGGGTATTGGTAATCCTTCGTTTTTGTCTAAATTTATTGACATGTTGATGTTGGATAATGGTGATCCCTCTGATTGGGTTAAATACCATAAGAAGATAAAGGTTTCAAGAATAGGTCTTCTTAAACCTGATCGTGACACGAAATTGAAGGTGTTATGGCAATTCATCAATAACAGTGATGTTGATTTATTTGGGCTCACTATGTCTGAGTTACGCAACTTAACCCATAAGCCACTTTCTGATGATGATGATCATACTCACTCTGTCTCTGTCGACAAAGAGGGATCGAAGAAGAATGGTGTTGTTTCTCCAAATTCTATTGTTATTGATGTTGATGATGATGATGATGATGGTGATGATAGAGAAAGATCACCATTCAAAAAATTTGTTATATTCCCAAAAGGTAAAAGATATGAGCGCTGCAACAAGAAGAGTTTAGTTATAGTCCTGATCAATCACATGTCTGAGGCTGAGGCAACGATGAAAAAGAAGCCTATAAAAATTCGATGCAAGTTGAAGCTGCCAGACATGTCTTTTGTTTTGAAAAGGCGGCACAGTGATGGTGATTATGGTGATGATGAAGAAAAGGTCAGGAGAAAGAAGAAGAGGATGATTGTAAAGGCACCTGTAGTTCCACCAGAATTGCCTGTTGAATTCAAGAATCACATTGAAAGTTTGAATGGTAATGAATTGAATTTTTTATTGAAAAGTCACTGTACAACACAGACCTTAACCATTATCATGGGCGTCTATCTTTGCCATTAAGTCAAATTGATAATGGATTCCTCACGCCAGAAGAGAAGGACTTGCTCGAAACAAGAATTGGAAATCATAAGACATCCATTGGAGCCAAATTAACTGATCCGTCAAGAAAGGAATCCGATATATTTCTTAAGAAGTGGGACATACCTAAGAAAATAGGCAAAGTGAATTCAACTTATAATCTAAGGACAAGTTGGAATGATGTTGTGCAGAGCAACAGGCAGTGCGAATGAATGATTGTACAATTCTGGTCATTTCGGGTGGGCTCAAAATTGTGGTTCACTCTTGTTGAAGTGAGAAGGATTTAGTCGAAAAAACATTAGAGGTGTAGTTGCTCAAGTGAATGTAGAAGTTATTAATCAACTGAGATTATTTGTTGTTTTTTTTATTATTTTATACATAAAAGAGATTTTTTATATAGTTATTCATCTGATTATATTTTTCTTATAAGTTATTCACAAAATGTCTCAGATGTATACTTCACCTTTTATCAGTAATTGTATTGTCTGAGCTTTAATTTTGAATGTCATGTGATTCAGAATCAGCCAATTCTCTGTTGCCTACATCCTAAACCTTTTAATGTTATGGCATGGCTCTCGATTCCTTTCTGTCATAACTGGTTCCTCTGATCGTCCAATGGTTCGCGGATTTGTGCCATTTTTTGATGTCGAGAAGGGAAAAAGAAAGAGAATGTTTCTTGAAATTGAACCGCCAACATAACCATTCTGTCGTTCTTATGAGTCCAATTAGATTGTTTTAATGAGATCACTACTTTAATCGACATTGGTATAGTTCGGTTGTTGCAAGAATTATACTTTACGGTGCTTGCTCAACTGGATTTAAAATCTTGTGCAGTGAAATCCTGAAAACATAAAAGAATTTGAGACAAATTTTGCATACTTTCAAACAGGCAAGTAAAAAAAAGACAATTGTCGTAGCTGGATTTTGCTAGAAAACCAATTATAAGAAGCAAAAGCATGCTCGGATAGAAATCAAATTTATTAACTCTTAAGAGAACTGGGTATTGAATTGAGGACACAAATGTCTCGTTGCTCATGCATGCTTCACAATATTAGCCTAAAAAATCAACTTGTGTCAGGTTAATTAACATAAAAAAAAAAGCAACTACCCTTTAAAAAAAATAATAGCAAGAAAATTACAACATTAAGAATTTATATGATTTTAGGAATATACTGCAGAGTTGTTCTTATAGTTGTTATTGTGTATAGTGGATTTTTATCTTCGCTCCGTCGTAGACATAGGCATCTCGCCAAACCATGTATATGTGTACTTGTTCTTTTGTTGTTATTTTTGTGTCATTAAAACCACGTTCTTATATGATATTATCATTGTTTATGAACTAACAGGAAGTATTGCATCTTATAGAATCTCAAAATAATATTGTTTTGGGGACTTGAAAAGGAAAAGGGCAGGTTTTTTTGGTTCCAAAACAACGTCAAGCTCATTCTCTGGGGATTGTAGTTCCGGGAGCCAATAGCGAATAACAAATACAGGTCGAGAGATATCAAGGAGAAGGTGCAGTTAGTGAAACATATAGCTCAAATACAAGTATTTTGAAAGGAAAAAAGAAATAGCTATATACAGAGGATAATATTACTAGAAATGGAAACTTAAGGGAAGAGTTACAAGGTCGTTAGGACATGGTGCAGGATGGTGTTAGAAGTTCCTTGAAATTTGGACACCCAAAAAATAGGGGTAATGTACAATAACAGTTTCATAGGGACACGGTTGAGTACACTTTGCCATGTTAAAAAAAAAAAAACACACACACACACACTTTGCCAATCATATAATGCTATCTAATCCCCATTCCATTCTAGTTTTGGTATCCCTTTACATTACAATTTAGGAATCCGTTTTCATTATAATCTCTTTGATTTCATATTTAGTATAATATTTAGTGTATATAAATATGTATATGAATATCCCACAAATTTCACCTCTCATTCTCCAACTCATAGCAAACAGTTCTTCTACCAAATCATTCTTTGCCAATAAAATTTTGCAAAGATTGAAACTGTATTTGTGTTTAGGCATAATGAAGAGGAAGAGGAAGATGGAGGATGATGATAAGTTCAGTAGTGATGATGATTTCTTTAAGACGGACGATGATGATGAGGTAAGTGTTAATGATCCCTCCTCGAAGACCAACAATGAGTCGAGTATTGATTGGTGTAAATTTGTTCATAAGGTACAGGATGCAAAGGAGATTTTTCTCAAACTCAAAGGTGAGACTAAATTAAAAGTTTTACTGCCATTCATCAAGAACAGTGATCTTGATTTATACAAGATCACTGTGTTTATGTTACACAAAGCCAAAAATAACCCACTTCTTGATGATGTTCATACACACACAGTATGTAGTATCTCTGCCTCTGTCGTAGAATGGCATTGTTGTTGCTACTACATATTCTGTTAATAATGATCCAAAATCCCATTTTTGAAGCTTCGATTCAAGCCCAGTTCGGAGATACTGAAAACAGAGCATTATTATTATTATTATTATTATTATTATTATTATTATTATTATTATTATTATTATTATTATTATTAATCAAAAGATTGAGAAAATCTCCAAAATCCCATTTTTGAAGCTTCGGTTCTAGCCTAGTTTGGAGAAACTGAAAACAGAGCATTATTATTATTATTATTATTATTATTATTATTATTATTATTATTATTATTATTATTATTATTATTAATCAAAAGATTGAGAAAATCTCCAAAATCCCATTTTTGAAGCTTCGGTTCAAGCCTAGTTCGGAGAAACTGAAAACAAAGCATTATTATTATTATTAATCAAAAGATGGAGAAAATCTCCAAAATCCCATTTTTCAAGCTTCGGTACAAGCCTAGTTCGGAGAAACTAAAAATAGTGCATTATTATTATTATTATTGATCAGAAGATTGAGAAAATCACCAAAATCCCATTTTTGAAGCTTCGGTTCAAGCCCATTACGGACACTTCAGTCCCAAGTAGTCTAGTCTACCCTAGTTTAGTTGTCCATTGCATTCTATATATACATGTACATTACATTGATAAGCATAGGTATCCCATAAATTTCATCAAAGAGTTGTTCTACTAATCACTCTTTGTCTCTCTGTGTTGGTGTGTTATTGTTCTTATATTCAACAACACCAAGAAGAAGAGAAAGATGGGTGTTGATAATCCTTCGTTTTTGTCTAAATTTGTTGACATGTTGATGTTGGATAATGGTGATCCCTCTGTTTAGTCTAAATACCATAAGAAGATAGAGGTTTCATGAAAGGGTCTTCTTAAACCCGACCATAACACGAAATTGAAGGTGTTATGGCAATTCATCAATAACAGTCATGTTGATTTGTATGGACTCACTTTGTCGGAGTTACACAACTCAACCCATAAGCCACTTTTTGATAATGATGATCATACTCACTCTGTCTCTGTCGACAGAGAGGACTCGAAGAAGAATGGTGTTGTTTCTCCATGTTATTCTGTTATTGATGTTGATGATGATGATGATGATGATGGTGATGGTGATGATAGAGAATGATCACCATTTGGAAAATTTGTTATAATTCCAAAAGGGAAAAGATCAGAGCGCTGCAACAAGAAGAGTTCTGTTATAGTCCTGGTCAATCACATGTCTGATGCTGAGGCAACAATGACAAAGAAGACTATGAAAATTCGATGCAAATTGAAGTTGCCAGACAAGCCTTTTGTTTTGAAAAGGCGGCACAGTGATGGTGATTATGGTGATGATGAAGAAAAGGTTAGGAGAAAGAAGAAGAGGATGATTGTAAAGGCACCTGCAATTCCGCCAGAATTGCCTGCTAAATTCAAGAACCACATCGAAAGTTTGAATGGTATTGAATTGAACTTTGTGTTTGAAAAGTCACTATACAGCACAGACCTTAACCATAATCAGGGGCGTCTATCTCTGCCATTGAGTCAAATTGATAATGGATTCCTCACGAGAAAAGAGAAGGACTTGCTCGAAACAAGAACTGGAAATCATAAGACATCCATTGAAGCCAAATTAATTGATCCGCCAAGAAAGGAATCTGATATATTTCTTAAGAAGTGGGACATGCCTAAGAAAATTGGCAAAGTGAATTCAACTTATAATCTAATGACAAGCTGGAATGATGTTGTGGAGAGCAACAAGCAGTGCGAAGGAATGATTGTACAACTTTGGTCATTTTAGGTGGGCTCAAAATTGTGGTTCACTCTTGTTGAAGTGAAGAGGATTTAGGCAAAAAAACATTAGAGGTGTAGTTGCTCAAGTGAATGTGGAAGTTATTAATCAACTGAGATTATTTGTTGTTTTTTTTATTATTTTATACATAAAAGAGATTTTTTATATAGTTATTCATCTGATTACATTTTTCTTATTAGTTATTCACAAAATGTCTCAGATGTATGCTTCACCCTTTATCAGTAATTGTATTGTCTGAGCTTTAATTTTGAATGCCATGTGATTCAGAATCAGCCAATTCTCTGTTGCCTCCATCCTGAACCTTTTAATGTTATGGCATAGCTCTTAATTCCTTTCTGTCATAGCCGGTTCCTCTGAGTGTGCAATGGTTCGCGGATATGTGCCATTTTTTGATATTGGAAAGGGAAAAAGAAAGAGAAAGTTTCTAGAAATTGAACCGCCAACATAACCATTCTATTGTTCTTATGAGTCCAAATAGATTGTTTTAATGAAATCACTACTTTAATCGACATTGGTATAGTTCAGTTGTAGATGGGATTATACTTTACTATGCTCGCTCAACAAGATTTAAAATCTTGTGCAGTGAAAGCCAACGAAACCTTAAAAAAAAAAAAAAAAGAATTTGAGACAAATTTTGCATACATTCAAACAGGCAAGTAAAAAAAAGACAAATGTTGTAGCTAGATTTTGCTGGAAAACCAATTATAAGAAGCCAAAGCAAGCTCGGACAGAAATCAAATTTATTAACTCTTAAGAGAATTGGGTATTCAATTGAGGACACAAAGTCTCGTTGCTCATGCATGCTACACAATATTAGCCCACAAAATCAACTTGTGTAAGCAACTAACCTTTTAAAAAAAAATAATTGCAAGAAAATTACAACGCTAAGAATTTATATGATTTTGGGAATATACTGCAGAGTGGCTCTTACAGTATTTATTGTGTATAGTAGATTTTGATCTTTGCTCCGTCATAGACATTGGCATCTCGCCAAACCATGTATATGTGTACTTGTTCTTTTGTTGTTATTATTGTGTCATTGAAACAACGTTCTTATATGACATTATCATTGTTTATGAACAAAAGGCAAATATTGGACCTTATAGTATCTCAAAATAATGTGTTTTTGGATAGGTGAAAAGGAAAAGGGGGCAGGTTTTTTCGGTTCCAAAACAACGTCAAGCTCATTCTCCAGGGATTGTAGTTCCAGGAGCTAATAGGGAATAGCAATTATAGGTCAACAGATATCAAGGAGAAGGTGTAGTTAGTGAAACATACAGCTCAAATACAATTATTTTGAAAAGAAAAAAAAAATAGCTATGTACAGAGGATAATATTACTGGAAGGAAGGCTTAAGGGAAGAGTTACAAGGTCTTTAGGACATGGTGCAGGATGGTGTTAGAAGTTCATTGAAGTTTGGACACCCTTAAAAACATGGGTAACGTATAATAACAGTTCCATAGGGACCACGTCTCATTCTCCACCTCACAATCTGCAATTCACAACAAATAGTTCTTCTATCAAATCATTCTATGCCAATAATCATTTGCAAAGAAGATTCAAACTGTATTTGTGTACAGGCATAATGAAAAGGAAGAGGAAGCTGGAGGATGATGATAAGTTCAGTAGTGATGATGATTTCTTTAAGATAGATGATGATGATGAGGTAAGTGTTAATGATCCCTCCCTCCTCGAAGACCAACAATGAGTCGAGTATTGATTGGTGTAAATTTGTTCATAAGGTAGAGAATGCAAAGGAGAATCTTCACAAACTCAAAGGTGAGACTAAATTGAAGGTTTTACGGCCATTCATCAAGAACAGTGATCTTGATTTATACAAGATCACTGTCTCTGAGTTACACAAAGCCAAAAATAACCCACTTCCCGATGATGTTCATAAAACATAGTATGTAGTATCTCTGGCTCTCTCGGCATAGAGGGATCGAAGAATGGCATTGTTGTTGTTGCTACATATTCTGTTAATAATGATCCAAAATCTCATTTTTGAAGCTTCGGTTCAAGCCCAGTTCGGAGAAATTGAAAACAAAGCATAATTATTATTATTATTAATCAGAAGATTGAGAAAATCTCCAAATCCCATTTTTGAAGCTTCGGTTCAAGCCTAGTTTGGAGAAACTAAAAACATAGCATTATTATTATTATTATTAATCAGAAGATGGAGAAAATCTCCAAAATCCCTTTTTTGAAGCTTCGGTTCAACCCTAGTTCGGAGAAACTGAAAACAAAGCATTATTATTATTATTAATCAGAAGATGGACAAAATCTCCACAATCCCATTTTTGAAGCTTCGGTTCAAGCCTAGTCTGGATAAACTGAAAACACAACATTATTATTATTAATCAGAAGATTGAGAAAATCTCCAAAATCCCATTTTTGAAGATTCGGTTCAAGCCCAATTTGGAGACTTCAGTCCCTAGTAGTCTAGTGTACTCTAGTTTAGTTGTCCATTGAATTTTATATATACATGTACATTACATAGATAAGCATAGGTATCCCACAAATTTCATCAAAGAGTTGTTCTATCAATCACTCTCTGTCTCTCTGTGTTGGTGTGTTATTATTCATATATTCAACAACACCAGGAAGAAGAGAAAGATGGGTGTTGATAATGCTTCTTTTATGTCTAAATTTATGACATGTTGATGTTGGATAATGGTGATCCCTCTAATTGGTCTAAATACCACAAGAAGATAGAGGTTTCAAGAATGGGTCTTTTTAAGCTCGACCGTGACGCGAAATTGAAGGTGTTATGGCAATTCATCAATAACAGTCATGTTGATTAATATGGGTTCACTATGTCTAAGTCACGAAACTCAACCCATAAGCCACTTTTTGATGATGATGACCATACTCACTCTGCCTCTGTCGATAGAGAGGGCTCGAAGAACAATGGTGTTGCTTCTCCATGTTCTTTTGTTATTGATGTGGATGATGATAATGATGATGATGATGATGATGATGGTGATGACAGAGAAAGATCACCATTTAGAAAATCTGTTGTAATCCCAAAAGAGAAAAGATCAGAGCGCTGCAATAAGAAGAGTTTTATTATAGTCCCGGTCAATTACATATCTGAGGTTGAGGCAACGATGACAAAAAAGCCTATAAAAATTCGATGTAAGTTGAAGCTGCCGGAAAGTCTTTTGTTTTGAAAAGGCGGCACAGTGATGATGATTATGGTGATAATAAAGGAAAGGTCAGGAGAAAAAAGAAGAGGATGATTGTAAAGGCACCTACAGTTCCACCAGAATTGTCTGCTGAATTCAAAAATCACATCGCAAGTCTGAATGGTACTGAATTGAATTTTGTGATTGAAAAGTCACTGTATAGCACAGACCTTAACCATAATCATAGACATCTATCCTTGCGATTGAGTCAAATTGATAATGGATTCCTCACGCAAGAAGAGAAGGACTTGCTCGAAACAAGAACTGGAAAGCATAAGACATCCATTGTAGCCAAATTAATTGTTCCGTCAAGAAAGGAATCTGATATATTTCTTGAGCAGTGGGACATGCCTAAGAAAATAGGCAAAGTGAATTCAACTTATAATCTAACGACAAGTTGGAATAATGTTTTGGAGAGCAACAAACAGTGCGAAGGAATGATTGTATAACTTTCATCATTTCAGTTGGGCTCAAAATTGTGGTTCACTCTTGTTAAAGTGAGGAGGATTTAGGCGAAAAAACATTAGAGCTGTAGTTGCTCAAGTGAATGTAGAAGTTATTAGTCAACTAAGATTATTTATTGTTTTTTTTTATTATTATTTTATACATAAAAGAGACTTTTTGTATAGTTATTCATCTGAGTATATTTTTCTTATTAGTTATTCACAAAATGTCTAATATGTGTACTTCACCTTTTATCAGTAATTGTATTGTTTGAGCTTTAATTTTAAATGTCATGTGATTCAGAATCAGCCAATTCTCTGTTGCCTCCATCCTGAACCTTTTAATGTTATGGCATGGCTCCCAATTCCTTTATGTCATAGCCGGTTCCTCTGAGCGTGCAATGGTTCGCAGATATGTGCCATTTTTTGATATCGGAAAGGGAAAAAGAAAGAGAATATTTCTTGAAATTAAATCGCCAACATTACCATTTTGTCGTTCTTATAAGCCCAATTAGATTGTTTTAATGAGTTCACTACTTTAATCGGTATTGGTATAGTTCGGTTGTAGCTAGAATTATACTTTACTGTGCTTGCTCAACAGGATTTAAAATCTTGTGTAGTGAAAGCCAATGAAACGCTGAAAACAAAAAAGAATTTGAGACAAATTTTGCATACATTCAGACAGGCAAGAAAAAAAAAAGAAGACAAATGTCGTAGTTAGATTTTGCTGGAAAGCCAATTATAAGAAGCAAAAGCAAGCTCGGGCAAAAATCAAATTTATTAACTCTTAAGAGAACTGGGTATTGAATTGAGGACACAATAGTGTCGTTGCTCATGCATGCTTCGCAGACCACAAAATCAACTTGTGTGAGGTTAATTAACATAAAACAAAAGCAACTAACCTTTAAAAAAAAATAATAGCAAAAAAATTACAACGTTAAGAATTTATATGATTTTGGGAATATACTGCAGAGTTGTTCTTATAGTTGTTATTGTGTATAGTGGATTTTTATCTTTGCCCCGTTGTAGACATAGGCATCTCCCCAAACCATGTATACGTATGCTGGTTCTTTTGTTGTTATTATTGTGTCATTGAAACCACGTTCTTATATGACATTATCATTGTTTATGAATTAACAGCAAGTATTGCACGTTATAATATCTCAAAATATTGTCATTTTGGGGAGGTGAAAAGGAAAGGGGGCAGGTTTTTTTGGTTCCAAAACAACGTCAAGCTCATTCTCCAGGGATTGTAGTTCCAGGAGCCAATAGCGAATAACAATTACAGGTCGAGAGATATCAAGGAGAAGGTGCAGTTAGTGAAACATATAGCTCAAATACAAGTATTTTGAAAAGA